GTCTTCCACATCAGTGGCTGAAAATAGTTACATAAGGAAGGGAGGAAGCAGATGCAAAGGGCTTCCCAGTGGTGTGGAGTTTCCCTTGGCAAAGTGCACCAATCAGACTCATGTCACATTGCTGGGCAACAGAAACTGATGTCGTTTCCCTGTGGACAGGCTGGTCACCGAAAGGATTTTGAAATTCCTTCATGCCTCAAATCCATATGAATGGTTTTAGGCAGCACTTCAAGAGTGCTGCTCAATATTGTGTGTGTGTGTGTGTGTGTGAGAGAGAGAGAGAGAGAGAGAAAGAGAGACATGTTGGTGTTTAATATTTGTATTCGTCACACACACAGACACACAGACACAGACACACACACACACACACACACACACACACACACACACACACACACACACACCCCGTGTCTAAAGAGCCAGAATTCATGAAGACAGAGCTTATCGTGGGTTTGAGAATAGTCTGACATAGGGTTTAAGTTCATAGGCTTCACAATCAGGGAATTCTGGATCAAGTCTTCATAGCCAAAGTGCTTGAAGAGTGTATTCAACTCTGCTGTAATAACAAATCATCACAAATTTCTGTGGCTTAAAAGGACACAAAGTTGTTATGGCACATGTCGTTAGGAAACCTGCAGTCTCAACTAGTTCATTCTTCAGGGATACAGTTCTTCTGGGATCCCTGAGAGGGAATCAAAGGGCTGAAAAATGACTTTTCCTTGGTTTGTGGCTACTCCTACCATCCTGAGAATCTGAGTGTCTTTCACTTCTGACCTTCTGCCTTTCTCTTATAAAAGACTCCCATCATTCAGTGGAGTGTCTCCTCTAACAGGATGAACAGCAACACCTCAAGACCCTCAGCTCACATCTACACAGTCTCACTGGGTGATGGGAGGCTGCAGAAGCCGTCAGACACACAGCAGCTCACATTTAGAAAAATCCAGTTAGGATACATGACTGCTAACGGGCAAGGAACACATTCTTGTTGGTTCTCCTAGGAGGGAATCCATGCTTGTTATGTAAACCTGGTTAAAAGCCAATGACTATAGATGTCTTAGGTTACAAATAGGAACCTGCTACTGTTTTCATAAGAGGATTTGGTGTCAAACTGTCTTCTAAATATTTATCTGTTCGTAGGTTAATGCTGCTAGTGCCAGTGAATAAAGTTTGATCAGAGAGGCTTCTGTATACAGTGGGCGGTGGTTAATGCAGACTCATAACTGGACAAAGCATGAGGATAAGTGCACTCTCATCCTTAAGTAGAGCATGTGTTTCAATTTCTGCAAGATGCAGGGAACATCACTGATGAGGAGGATACTACAACTTAGGAGCCAAGGGGGAGATGAACGCCGAGAAATGCCATTCCCTAGACATGGCACGGAGCATGTGTTCATGACTTCACAGGAACTCTGCTCACCCACACCAGGTTATCCCAGTTAATATTCCAGCATGGACAGAGGAGGGCCGTGAAGTCCCCACTCTTCCCTGAGGAGCAGCTGTCAGCTAGTGGTTGCTTGGGGGGGGGGGGAGGAAGAGTAATTTTCTTTAGTGGAATAGCCACTGATAAATTGCCTGTGATTCTATAAACAAACAAAAGCAAACAAATCCCTACCCATACTCATGCATGCAACCCTAAATAAACTCAGCAACTCACAAGAAAATATCAAAACAAAATCAAAAATAAGACACGGAAGTAAGAGAGGACTTGGTGGGAAGAATAAAGGATTCGGCATGAGTGGAAAGTAGATGAAAGAGGGAACACGAAGGATGAAAATGAGCAAAATATATTCCATCCAGTACAAAATTATCAAAGGATTTTTAAAAATTTAGAAAGGCTATGGGGTGGTTCAAAGAGTACTACTAAAAGAAGTAGCATCAGGTGGCCCCTTGAAGACCACTTCTCTGGGTGCTGGCTAAGAATATAGAGCATTGATGGGATCAAGAATGCAGGTAAAAGGCTTGGTCCCAGCCCTGGTGAGAGAGGATGGAGAGGCGCAGCTGAGGAGGAAGATCTACAGGAAGCAATCACAGGCTTGGCTTTATAACAGAGAGCCCTCAGGATCCATGGCTGCAAAGGGTAGGAAACAGGATGACAGAGGGAGATCTCAGCCAATACTACAGATGCTCTGAAGAGCACTTACGCTCTCATTGCTAGTAGAAATTGCCATCTCATGTTGAGGGTCTCCCAGATAACCTGCTCCTCCCTCCTAGCTCCCTATGTCTCCTGGTGACATCACTGCAGTGGTCATGGATGGGGGTGACAGTGAGCTAAGTTGTTCTGGTTTGGACATCATCTATGTTGGAATTTTGGTTTGCTTGTTCTTGTCTAGGTCTAGTGCAGGTGACAATAGTCACTGTGAGTTCCTGAGTACAACGGACCTGATATGTTCCTAGCACATGTCCCCAGACACTCCGTCTAATTTCTGGTTCTTTCAATCTTTCTGCTCGCTCTTCTACAATGTTTCCTCAGCCCTGTTGGAGGAGGTGTGATGTAAACTCTAGAGGGGTGAGCACTCAGTAGTTACTTATCCTCTGCACTCTGACTAGTGGCATTGTGTGTTCATTGCCATTCACTGCAAAATCAAGCTTCAGAGTTAGATAGGATTTCGTCTTTCTAGCACAATAGATTCATGCACCATAGTTCTACACATCCATAAGAAGGTGAATTATACCTTGGAGTATGGGTCTAGGCCAGGTATCATTCAGGAGCCATCAATAAATAAGGCATAATGGAAAGCCAGAGCCTGGGTAAGAACCAGCTCCAACAGCTTTGAAGTGTAGTAATAATTGAGATACAGATATTTCTTGTTGCCATGCCTGGAACATAATAAAATCTCCATAAATCAGTTTCCATAACAGTGATGGTTTATGATCTAAGGAGAAATGCCCTCCCAAGGCTGTCACCCATTCCTCACACTGTCCTCCTGCCTCACCACAGACCCCTCAATCCTTTTCCTTCACAGTAGGCCCAGAGTCACATATGTTCTAACTTGTCTCGTCTAGGTGACTTGGATGCTTCCAAGCTGATCTTCTTGCTCCTTCCTCCTGGCTAAGAAGTGACAGCTCTTTAAAATCATAAACAAAATCTTCCCACTCCTCTGCTTCAGTGTGCCCAGAGGCCACCCATCTAGTGTGAAACATGGGCAGTCAGGATGGGACTCTTGAAGGTCACAGTCTGGTCCACTGTCTTCCACCACTTTCTCTTCCTGACCTGCCTGCACCTGCACCCCCCACCTCTTCACAGTGTTCCAACCACAGTGCCTGCAGCTATCCACACACCGGTGCTGTGCCAGGCCTGTGTCCTTACTGCTCCCTCCCCCATTGTATAGCCACTCCTACCACCGATGGCAAGCCATCTCACTTCGCTACCTCCTTCAGGTCTGTCTGCACAGACCACATGAGAGGATTCCTGTGCTGGCTAGTCTTATGTCAACTTGACCCGAGCTGGAGTCACCTGAAGGGGAGGAACCTTAATTGAGACAATGCCTCCTTCAGATCCAGCTGCCTGGCACTTCCTTAATTAGTGATTAATGAAGGAGGGCCCAGCCCACTGTGGTGCCATTCCTGGGCTGGTGGTCTTGGGTGCTATAAAGAAAAAAAAGCAGGCCGAGCAAGCCAGGGCAAGCAAGCCAGTAAGCCAGCACCCACCCCCACCCCCCACGGCCTCTGCATCAGCTCCTGACTCCAGGTGCCTGCCCTGTTTGAAATGCTGAACTGACCTCCTTGATGATGAACATGCTGCAGAAGTGTAAGTTCAGTACACCCATGTTGCTTTGGTCATGGTGTTTCATCACAGCCATAGTGACCCTAACTGAGACACCCCTACCCCCTTTCTTTTCCCTTCCAGGCTCATGCAACTCTGGGGCATTTTCATCCGCAGTGGATATTACTTTCAGATCACATGAAGATCATACACAAGAGTTCCCCATTCCTTTCTCCCAGTAAGATGTAAACTTTATTAAGGTAAAATTGTGGTTTTATTTCACTGTTACTAATTTATTTTTGAGACAGGGTATTCCTCTGTAGCTCAGTCTGTCCAAAGCTTACCACCCTGCCCCAGCCTTCCAGGAGAGATGGGATTACAGGTGTGTGACTTTCTTGACTATGTACTAGAAATAGAATAAAGGCCCATTCTGATTTCTTGGAGGACCAGAAAGTACAGTATAGATTTGGTCCTCCAGGCCAGGCAGAGGAAATACTTAGCATGCGATAGCTGTACATGTCTGAGTGTTGTAGATAGCAAAAGTAATAGATTGAAACTCTTAATGAAGATAGCATTGCTCTAATTATGTCGAGTGATTCCAAACTAACCCTCCAAACAAAAGGTCAGTGCGTTCCTTGTAGGCATTACGTACTCAACATGCCCCATTAACCTTTGCTCCCTGCCTTTGGCTAGCTACGGCTGTCAGTCTCCACACAAATACCTACACAGCTACCATCAGCTGCTATTTACTGTTAAATTGCAGTTTCCTGGGGGAGATTGCAGACTAACTTTGGGATTCATGATTCTGCCAGAAAACCTTGGCTCTAGAATCAGATGCCCTCTAAAGTATCCCACACACACCTGACTTCCACACCCTCACTCCGCAGGCAGCCCTTTCCCTGACAGGGTCTCCCAAAAGGCACACAGCCCCAGGCTTCCAGGGTTTGGCCCACATTTTTAAAGTCTGTACTAACTGAAGCTCTCCAGCTTGGCAGGACTCCTTGTTTCAATTGTTGGCGGAGATTTGGAGCATTGGTGCTATTCTTTTTCTCTTCCGGTTTCAGCTTCTGTCATCTGGGATGTGGAGAGCGAAGCTCGTGGTCAGCTCTCACTGAACAAGGCTTTGAAGGGCGTTCCAGGATCAGGAGCCAGATATTTGGCAACTCAACTGTTAACTTTCTGTGGTTTTTCCTCCCTGGGATCAATGTGACGTCACCAGTGTAATTTGAGTCTGGAGCTTCCTTCACACTTTAAATAGCAGCCCAGTCCCGGTTTTACCACAGACTCCCTGAAGTGCCCAAGCTGAGCTGGGGAAGACTCACATCGATGAAAGCAAAGCGAAGCCACCAAGCCATCAGCATGTCCTCGTCTCTTCGAGTAAGCCCATCCATCAACGGCTACCACTTCGACACGGCCTCTCGCAAGAAAGCTGTGGGCAACATCTTTGAAAACATAGACCAGCAGTCCCTGCAGAGGCTCTTCAGGAACTCCGGAGACAAGAAGGCAGAGGAGAGGGCCAAGATCATTCTTGCCATCGATCAAGACTTGGAGGAGAAGACACGAGCTCTGATGGCCCTGAAGAAGAGGACGAAAGACAAGCTTCTCCAGTTTCTCAGACTGCGGAAATACTCCATCAAGGTGCACTGAGCTTAGCAGGATGGGTCAGGAGCTTTTCCACCGATGGACCCTTTAAAGACAGACCCAGTGAGCCTGCCAGCCCGGCAAGGGCAGCGTCCTGCGCACAGGCTTGAACACTTCTTCCATCAGGACACGAGGATGGAAAAGGACAGAGCACACCACTCATTGCAGTCCTGAGCTGTCACACTGAAAGCAAAGTGCCTTCAGCAGACTTTGAGAACTCTCCTGACAGGAAAGGACTAACACTGACAGGGTAGACGAGGATGGAGGCACAGAACAGAACATGGGCAGACGGAGACTGAGAGCGTTCAGGGTCACCGGCAAGGCCCTAAGACTAAATGAAAACCTACTTGGTTTTTGTTGTTGTTGTTTGGTTTGTTATTTTGTTTTCTTTTCTGGAAAAAAAAAAGGTGTCAAAGTAGTTGGTAGGGAGAGGGAGGAAGGAAGAGGAATGTCAATCGTAAATAGTTTGCTGAATTTTTAAAATTCTGAATGTTTTAAATGTGGCTAAACCTCAATGCTGTTTATTGGCCAAGTTTTTTAGAGATCAGTAATGAACTGCTTGCATTTATTACAATGCCTAAGAAGGTGCATGGCCTGGTGTTAAAGTCAGGGAACTGGGTGCTTTGCCCAGCCCTGGAAAACCCATTAATGCCACTCACTGTCTACATGTTTCTAGAGGATTTGTATACATTTCAAACAGCTTTGCACAAAGTTGAAATAATGGGGCTCTTCATAATTCTGAAGTACTGTGAACAATTTTGTAATATTTTTTACTCTCTGACTAATGCTAAAAATCTAATCCAATTAAATGTCATAAAGATACTGCAGCAAGCATTAGGAAGTGAGAATAGGAGATTTTAGAAGGATGCTGTGGTCTTTATAATTTATTATACATTGTAAGTGATACGCAGCCCCAATAAATTATTATTGACTTAGCTTCTCTTGGTCTGTGATGATTTATTTGCCTCAAAGGAAAAGAAATAGAATGGTAAATTTGGATCATTCTAAACTTTTATAGGGGGCTGAGTCTAAAGCTAAAGAGGCTCTCAGAGCAACTTTATGCTAACTGCCAAACTTTCCCAAAGCAAATGATTGCACCAAGTGTCTAGAGTATTCCCTTGCTCAAGTTTTAAACTTCTTGGCAGGGATATGGTTATACACAGAGTAATTTGTTATCATTGTTTTTATATATTCATTATATATCTTCATGTTTGTGAAATTTATCCCCTGTCACTACAGCAGAAATGTGTGCATACCCACTTATTTCTTCCTGAACAGTATGTTTTAAAGTTAGAGTGACCTGTGATGAAGTTTTTGTGGGTTATTATAACATTGCCATCTCTTTCTTTATTTCTGCATTATTTATACTACACAAATGCCCACTGTGCTTTCTTAACAGAAAAGCAAAAACAGCCCCCAGAAATGGTTTCAGCAAAACCTACCAAGACTTTTTTTTTAAAAAATTCTGACTACAGTATATAAAAACACATGACCTATCTGAAATCTTCAGGAGGCTTAAAAGCCAGAATTTTAACAACAAAACGAACTGTAAGAAAGGAAATTAGGGTGGTAAAATTATATATTCAGCTATTAATTATTAAGTTGTTGAAGGTCATTACAAAGTAATCTATGGGGCCCTTAACTAGGGGTGCAGTCAGTATTTGATCACTTGGCCAGCATGTGCAAGACCCTTGGTTTCATTTCCAGGAAATAAAGAAAAGGTGGGGGAGGGTTATTGTAGAAGTGTGTGTGTGATACCCTTGAGCACTTTTCTGGGAGGATTATTCATAATCATCAGATTTTCATAAACAACCAAGACACCAAAAGAATTTCAGACTCGTAGAGGCAGGGCTCCAAGGGAGCAGTCGGCCAGTGATTGTGAAAGGAGTGGTGTAGAGAAGTCCTCTGCCCCATTCCTCCATCCCTCAGCCTGATGCACACTGAGCTAGCAAACTGCTGTCTGTGTGCACTCGGAGTAAGTTTCGTGTTCCCTCCAGAACCCTCATAGAGGACTTTTAAGTTGCACTTTATTCAAAGGCCGAGCTGGGAATGGCTGCCCAGGCTTCAAATCCTACCACTCAGGAGGATCATGAATTTGAGGTCAGCAAGAGTCACTTCATTTAATCATGTCTTAAAAGTCAATCAGTCCACCTACTCCTCTGTGTATCCCCATGAAGAAAGCATATCTCGCATGCTGAGCTTGTACTATAGGTTTGATTCAGCACATGCACTCGTAAGTCTGTATCTGCTGCTGTTGTTTCCAATAGAGTGCAGTGTATCCCTGTCTTCTTTATGCATGAACATTAATTAAGGGTTTTTTGGGGGGGGCAATATACTATTATTATTTTCCAATTTTAACACGAGGAAGAAAACCAAATACTCCTCCGATAGGCTGTTGCAAGCACTCTCTTCTTACGGAAGAACAGAGCAGAATCAGTGTTATTGCACAGGACCATTTTCAGGTACATATTACACATTATATAGTGTCAGATGAAAACAGGTATTATCAGAAAGAGAAAACTACTGGGCAAGAGAGGTGGCACAGTAGTTAAGAGCACATGCTGTTCTTGCAGAAGACTGGTTTTGCTTCCATGTACACTCAAAATTACCTGTAACTTCAGGAATCTGGTACCTCTAGCCTCGGTGGGCAAATGCACTAACATGTACAAATCCACACACAGACATATGCATATATACATAATCAAAAATAAATCTTAAAAAGATGTAAAGGAGAATTAGTTTGGTCCTGAGTTTTATTTCTGACACAGGGAGAGTCAAGTCAATTGTAAGATCTGGTAATAAAGGCAAAGGGTTCATTAGCACATTAAGAATATCAGCTCACTGGGATCATCATAACAGCTAACTTTTGCCAAGATGTGGTACTGGTGGACAGGTAATTCTCCAAATATTTTTTGTGATGCAAGAGGTAAGGTAAGTTTGTTTATGTCTCCCTGTGGACACAAGGCTTCAATAGTTGGAGGAACTTGCCAACAACATACAACTCTAAGAAGGATGGCCACCATGCCCCGATAGCAGCTTTGACCATGTTACCAGGGCAGACTAGCCTCCCTCCTCCTCTATAGATACCCATTCACTAGTCAATTGGAAAGATAGGAACGCATGGCTTCTGCCAGTTACTTTGTTTTCATCTGTATTTGCTGTCTGTTTACCACGGGAAACATGTCATAGTTAGTAATTTTGGTGGTATCATACAGCTAAGGTAGTACTGTGTTTGCAGCTTGGAGCCAAGGCCACTCCTCATGTCTCCTCAAGGCAACTTGGATCTGGTTTTCATTTTAGGAATGTCAGACAGCACAGCTCACTGATTTATTGGCTCGGCTCACAGTAAAAGGATGACTCTGTAGCAGGTGGGATTTACTGAGAAAGGTCTAGGTTATATGTCTAGCTGCACACTCTTCCACTGTCCTGGGGTGTTCTGAATGTAACTGACATTTCTCTGAAAAGTTGGGTCTGCTGACTTAAATGAGGGGGCCACTGTCTGGGGCCTCTATGTCTTTGTGGAACACACTAGGCACATTTCTGCTTTCACACAAGTTCTCAGCATGGCCTAAGTTTCAGATGACTGTTATGCATGGGGAGCTGAGCAGTGAGGGCTGAATTTGTACCTTAACCACTCTTATAGGATGCATCTAGCTATGTGAGCAAAGACCAGAAAAGATACTGCTTTCTATTAGAGGGTTGACAAGGGCTTTGAAACAAACAGGAAGGAGTCATTTGAACAGCAAAAATTGTGGTTGTGACTGCATGAATGTGTGTGTGTGTGTGTGTGTGTGTGTGTGTGTGTGTGTGTGTATGTGTGTGTGCATGTCTTGGTAGTCTGTGTGTGTGAACCTACATATAACTGCATGTCTGTGTCTTTGAGTGGTGTTATGTGCACGTATGTGCATCTATGTGTCTGTGAGTATATGATGGTATATGTGCATATATGTGTATCTAGGAGTGTATACTTATGTGTCTGAATGTGTATCATATGTGTTGTGGCTATGTGTCTTGTGGGTGTGTAAGTGATATAACTGCCTGTTTCTAATTGAGCATAATTGTGTCTGGTGTGTGTGCATGTGTGTGAGAGAGAGAGAGAGAAGGTAGAGAGAAATTCAGAGAAAGAGACAGAGACAGAGAGAAAAAGAGAAACTATGTGTAGATGTATGAAGTGTTTGTATTTGTGCATATGTATATGCCTGTGTGGATTTGTGTGTGTATCTGAGTGTACATGTATGTGTGACTCCATTTACATGTATGTGTGGCTGTGAATCTGTAAATGCCCGTATGTTCTGGTCTGTGATCCTGAGTGCCTGTGTACATCTTCAAGTCTGCATATGTTTGTGCATGGGTAGAATGTCTATGTATGCATGTGTCCATGTATCTATATTGCTGTGTGATCCTGTTTGCATTTATGTGAATGCATGTGTGTACCTTTAGGATTGTGTTACATGGCCATATGACTGTGTTTTTATGTGTATATTTTTATGTGTGTCTACATGTATCTGTTCACATGTATGTATCTATATGAGCATGTATCTATGTACATGAGTGTGTGTATCTATCCATGTGAGAATGCATGTTCACAGATGTGAGTCTCTACCTGTATCTGTATTCACTTGTATACACATTTGGCTGTATGAATTAGTGAATATTTTTTGTGTCTTTGTCCAACGACTGTGTGAGAATGTATGTTATGTGTGTGCATCGTCTTTGTTCATGTGTGTTTATGTGTATCTCAAAGAGTGCATATATTGGCATATTTGTGTGAGTTTGTCTATATCTATGTTTGTATGTGGTGAGTGCATACATGTCTGGTGAGTATATGTGTATACATGTGCCTATATGATTGTATGAGAATGTAAATTCATGTGTGCATCATCTGTGTTTGTATGTGTGCATGTGTGTATATCTGGGTGTGTGCATATAGGTATGTCTGTGTACACATGTGCCCATGTGTATTTGTGTATTATGTATCCCTGTGTATTTCCATGTGTGTAACTGTGTTCCTGTGTATGTCTCTGTGTGGATCTGTGTGATTATTCACGCATGCATCTGTGTGTGTATGTCTGTATATGCATGTGTCTATGTGGTTGTGTGGGATTGTATATTCATGTGTGTTTCTGTGTCATGTGTGTGTGTCTGGGTGAGACCATTGTGTGGTCTGTAAGACTGTAGGTTCGTGTGTATATTCTATAGCTATGTGAGTCTGTCTGTCTGTATCTGTGTGTACAGGGTAGATGAGTACATAGTCCTAATCTAGGAGATGTTTCAAGATTCCATGGAGGAGTAGGCCAGAAGGAAAACCCTTTTACTGCTCCACAGGCATATTGTTCACAAAGGCAAGGAGACGGGATAGAGTGGGTCATGCTTGAGTCTCCTGTTGATTGTGACTCGGGTCCTAAAGGATAGAGTGACAATGAGAAGATGGGTAGGACAAGTTAGGATGATTTGTCCTAGAATCAGTGAAGCATTGGGGACTTTATACATGCAGGTGACACTTGCTACCTGGTAGTGCATATCTGGCCTTGAAAAGGGACATACTAGAGAGTGGCTGAAGTCATAGTCTGCTTGTAAAGACCCCTCCCAAACCTCATGGCCTTTCACTGTGTGGCAGAGGGAAAGGGCACTTTACTTAGTGACAGAAAGCCACTACACAGCAGCTATTGATGACACAGAAAACCCTGAGAAGAACAGACTGCGAGATGAGAAGTGGGAGATGGCCATCTTCCACACTGCCCTGTTAAAGCCCTCAGATTCATGACTGCTTAGGTGATGCATTGAGTCTAACTATTTTGCTAGTATAAATAGTGCCTGGCTATTCTCACATGGACAAGCCTCCCGAAGTTTCTAGATATTTGGAGTGTCTGGCACAGGCCCATGAAAAAGACCCCTTTTCAATGTGAACATACATGGTTGATAGACACAGTTCAGAA